CTATTATGTGTTTAAATAACTTAAAAGGATAAAACTAAAAAAGCCCTAAAAAATGCGCGCCAAGCGCGCAAAATATTTTTGTGTTTTTAATTCTAATTTCGTCGGAATTGATGAAAACTCCCTAAAATGTGCAATTTATAGAGGAAATATGCCTACCGTAACAAGAATTGCACGCAAAGAATTTGAGAATTTTAGGCAATTTCAGAGGATGCATTTGTCAAGGGGTGGAGAAAGATTTTCCAAAGATGGATATTTTCCCCTTGTCCCCCGGTGTTTTTAAGTCTAATTTCGTTGGAATTTATCAAAACCCCCTAAAATGTGCAATTTTTAGAGGAAATTGGACCATGTTAACAAGAAATGCGCGCGAAATTTGTAGTTTTTAGTCACTTTCAGGGAATGAAAGGGCATTTATAAAGGGGTTGGGAAGATTTTTCAAAGATAGATATTTTCCTCTTGTCCCCCAGTGGTTACGCCATCGGGCAGCATAGATCAAAGGAGTTATGACAGTTTTTGAAGTAAAGAAGGGGTTGCAGGGTGTTGTGAGTCTGGTCATTATGATATCTTCCTTTTTATTCTTGTCTTTATTTTTCTCTTCTCTTTTTCTTTCCTTTTCTTTTCCTCTTCTTTCTCTTTCCCTCCCTTTCCCCTCTTTCTTTTCTCTTATTACCCAGCCCGGTACGACGGCTTAGTCAGCCCGGTAAAAACCGTCAGTGGAGGGGCAGTTTCCCCCCTGCCCCCCAACCCCGCGCCTGTTACGACACTGGCTAACACGCCAATCATCCCCCCCAATGAAAAATATTTTTCTACGCCACTGTGGCTTACAGTAAATCCTCAAACTAGCGTAATATAACCACATTTAAACTCCATCAAATTTAACAAAAACAATAAGATACAATTAGGTCATTTTTGTTTAATAAAGTTCTCTGAAGGTTAACTACAGAATTTAGAGTACACTGTAGTTAATGTGTTATAGGTTGTAAAAGCTGTATTGAGTAAAGAAAAAAATCTTTCGAATAAAACATTCTTTCGCTTGACATTTGGAATGTGAAACAAAATCATAAGCTATGTCAAGTGTTATATTGAACAGTGGCAGATTCAATGGGGAACCCAGTCAGCACTGGACCCCATCCCCCTATTTTTTTTTTCAAAATTATTTAAAAAAAAATAGAGAAAACAGACAAAACTATATTCAACTTTTAATTTGTGCATTTTCGACCATCTAGAGGTGCCATAATCATAATTTTTTTCAGCCCCACAACAATTGTGGGGCTGAGGCGTGTGAACATTCTATTTGCGCGAGACCCTTCCTGAAACCCCTCTATTTCGACCCGCCACAGTTGGAGTATCATTTCCGGGATGACAGATAGCAGAATGAATAAAGTCAATGACTTAGAAAGCAGTGTGAGAGTTACAGTATACATTTAAGTGGCGGAATCAGGGGAGAGGGGCTGTCCAGGCCCCCTCTCCTAAATTTTGCAAAATAAAAAAAAAATGGTGAAAAAAGAAAGTTGTATTCAAATTTAAGTCTCACAGTGGCATTTCTGGCCATCTAGAGTTGCCATAATCATACATTTTCTTACCTCAGCAACAACCTGGTGGGACTGAGATGGTCTACATCCTCCATCTGTGAAAGCCCCTCTCTGGGCCCCCTTTATTTAAAATTCCTGGATCCACCACTGTACTGTACTAGATTTGAATCTATATGAAATGACACAAGAAAAATAAACCCCATGCTTAAAATTCAATCCCAGTCAATTCGTATTATGACAGTACGCAGAAAAAAAAATCCAATCAGTTTATCATCAAGGTAAAACACATTGTGAGCCCAATACCGATACCCATATATGATCAAGGAAAAGGTTCATTTATATTGTTATGTTGAGTAAATCACTGATGACCAAATCAGTGGAGGTGCCAGTGGTGTTATTATTATTATTATTATTATTATTATTATTATTATTATTATCATCATCATCATCATCATCATCATTATTTCATATTTTTTCTGGGCATCCAGGTAAACAAAGTTTCCGCGGTAACCTCTGTACCCATCCCTGTAAAACCAGCAACATTCAACAACATTGGGCCCCTCCACTTTTTTACAAAATTAGCTGGATAGCCCCTGAATGTTAGTGCTCTATAGGCCTATTAGTATGTCTTTATCTCCTGTTAGATCTGTACCTGGAGGTACCTACATGGTCTGTCTGACATAAATTTATTGACTAAAATTAGAGTGTCTACTAGAGGGAAACACAGTATTTAATTAAAACATTTTTTAACAATTCAAGTGATAGTGCAACTCATTTAGAGCGGGATAAATAATTGATGCTTCAGGTTAAATTTAGTAAGTACCGGTAAGTGTAATTAAACTTGTTCCAGCAGTATGTTTCTCGAAACCAGGGGTGGTGCCAGGATTTGCCCGACGGGGGGGGGGGGGGCAGAGATCCCCGACGAGGGGGCCGATGCCCCCGATGAGGGGTCAGATTTCCCCCGACGAAAGCAATTTGGGCGTGGTCGAGCTTCGATTAAAAGGTTCCGAAAGTGGTCTAGTGGGTGACGCCCCCGAAAAAACAATTTAAGGATTTGCAATAGCTTGTTTAATCGATTTTTTGAGTCGACTAATATGTAGAAAATACATATAATTGTTGGGTCGGGTGGGGTGGGGGCTGCGCCCCACCCCCGGCCGGCTGGCGCCACCCCTGCTCGAAACACTACGTTATTTGTGTAGGCATAGGCCTACTGTATTTCCAAAGTTAATTCATAATATATTGTATCCTGTGTATTCATAGAACATGTTTTATTTAATTTCATATTGTTATTTCTTGCATTATATTGTCTCTTATATAACGTAATGGCGAATGTGGAAAAGTGCATTTTGAGAAAAACGCATTTAAAGATTTTTGAAAATAGTAATTTTTATTAGCATACCTTCTTTCATATGAAATTGCCTAAATTTCTATATGGTTATAGTACATTGCCTCTTAATACTGTGTATAAAATATATAACCATAATAACCATTGGTTAATTAGCAATGCATCATTAAACTTATTCGTCACTTCGAAAAAAAAAATTAACGTACAAATTGCAATAATTTAACATTCGCCACACATTCGCCACTTTGTGGGGGGAAAAATCAAACCAACTAACATTCAACACTGGAAATTCAAGCCAGTAGGCAGAAATTTTGATGTGAAGGGTTGGGTGCGTTTTAGCGCAGGTGAGAACCTTAAGCCACGGGACCTGGGCCATCTTGGAATCCTTAGGGGTACAGGGGCAGAGCTCTGGTGGGGTTGGGGGTACAAATCTCTCCGAAGCGCCGATAAATTTGCTTTTTGAGTGGATTTGCCATACGATTGAAATCGAAACTGTACTGGGTTTGGCACAGGCGTGGCACGGGTTTGTTCAGGGCCCCCCATCGGGGGAGAAAAAACACAATTCTTCTGGGAGAAAAAACATTATATGTATTTTCATATTAGTTGACTTTAAAATCGACTAAATAAGCCTTTGAAACCCCTAAATTGTCAAAATTTTCTGGGACTTCGCCCCTGGACCACTTTAAAAAGAAAGGCTTCGCCCCATCCCCCCCCCCCCCTTACCATCACAGATTTTGTCTACAGGAGCTCGAGCTCATGCTTCGTACAGGTCATTCCATTTGTAGAAAAGCCTTCATAACACCGGCTGTATAAAATTTAG